ACCACCGGTTCCAACACTAAAGACCTCTGACTGTTGAACACGAGAGCCAGATAATCCTGGTAGTCTGTCGGGTGTCCTCGAGGAACCCCGAATCATCCATATTTTACAACTCATACATGATCAACATGGAGTTACCACAACATTACATCATTTATTACAAAATAACATACATTGGAGTGTGGAAGACTTATAATAATAGGTTACAAAACATGTTCAAGTAAAAACTTAACTTAAGTTTTAAAAGGTGGGTAGTACTACACAAGCAACTCAGGTAAAAGCACCTAAGGTAGAAGAGACAACCATATCATGTCGAGCCCATTGACATGACCTCGATTAGCAGCACTAGTCAAAACCTACAAAAGGGGTTAACAAACCCTGAGTACTTGAGGGTACTCAACAAGTCTTACCCAACTAAAAGAAAAGACTCCAAGGGTATGAAATCTTAAGGGAAGGTTTGAAGCAAGAATAACTTTTGCAGAAAAGCTTACTATATGTGGATCCTTACTTTCAATATTTTAGCCATGTATTATTAAGTCGTTAGTAGTATCCAGTTTGCACCTATTCTAAATCAATCGCATCTTTAATCATCACATCTCATTTCTTATCCACAAGTAACCATGTTCCATTGATTAACTATGATGAGTGGTCAGAGGGTCGAGTCTTCTTCTCTAAGAAGCAATGACGATTCGAATCGATTTGGCCTAGCTAGGGTTTCCTTACCATGCGACATATGCAGGTCCTGGTCTTGGACTTACATATATCAACCTTCACTTGGATCCTCCAAAACGTGAACCGGTCTGCGCTACCCGAGAGCACAGTACTCCACCTCCCTATGCCACTCCTAGCGGATTCACAGGATGTGTACACGCTACTCTCACCATCTCCTATGCCCAGTGCGCAGTTGTCTTTTCACATAATGGAATAGCCGAGGTATTAGGCTTACCAGAGTATGTGGCCAGTACTACAAAGTCTCAACCACACACAGGCCTACAACGAACGGTCCTTAATCGACACAGATGGGACAAGCATGACCAGGCAAACATGTCTGCTCCAGAACTCTTATCATAACATCAATGTCCTGCCCGGCCTCAATTTAAGCATTATCATCATCATGGTATTGTCATGACCCATAAGCAGAGCCGAGAAGAACAACGGTAAAGCCTACCTCTCGCGATCGATGAAACCATCGCTCGACTTTTATCGTGGTCTAAGCATTACTAAGCATCAGAGATATCGACCTATTCATACTAGCAGGGTAGAACTAAGGATACCTGAATATCAAGGTAATCATGCAGCAACGGTATTAGACCAACTCCTAATTACTTAATGCACATCTCACAAGACTTAAGGTGTAATAAAGATTTGTAAAAACTAGAGAAGGGTGGTATGCTCCGTGGTTTGCCTGCGTTGCAGAGAATGTTAGTTCCACAGAAGATCACAGGAGTTAGACTTGGCACCAACACCTCTGGTGGATGGACCTTCCCCAAAACTTGATCATCGCGTGTCTTCTCACTCTCGTATGCTCTACACATAATAAAATAATGCTTTGCTTAACATGATGGAATGCATGACATGATGCATGATGAGAGACATTGAAGTGTATTAACAGAGGTTAAACAAAGTTAAGAAAGTTGAGTACAACTTTCCTTCACCAAGGAACTAGGGTTATTATTATAAATGCATCTTAGTTAATTAATTATAATTAGTTGCTTATCATGAAAGGCATAACTTAACATGTACCAGCAAGTGATTAACATCTTTCCTAACTCATAAACATGATAAAGAACTTATAAAACTAAATACTTGATTAAGTCATTTTAATTATGATAAAGGCAAGTTGATTATAAACATATTAAGGAAATAATCTAGATGCCAAGGAACAGCAGGGGTTGGGATGTTCCAAGGTCTTCACACAATGCTCAAAACACACCAAAATCATTCAATTTATTTCAGCATTTATTAAATAAAGAAAAGACATTTAAACACACCTAAATTAATTGACCAAGTTAGAATTATCAAGACAGTACCAAACTATTTGTGGAGGTAGATATTAACACATGACACTTACACAAAAAGTTTCATGATTAAAGGATTATTATTTTAGCCTATAAAAATCATGTTAGTTCCATTTTATAATTAAAAGAGGTAAATTTTAAGCATAACAAAACTACTAAAAATACCCATCTCATATTTTTCCTAGGTAGAGTACATGATAACAAAGCTACACAAAAAGTTTCACAATTTTATCATCATTAATTATTTAGTATGAAACTAACAAGAATCTACACATTTAACATTTTCTGAAAAAGAATAATCAGCCCAGACTTTTCTCACCCACGTGCAGCCAGCCGCAGAGGCTGACACGCGCGATCGGGTCAACTGCACAGTGCCGGCCACGCTGACCGCGGTAGCACTGGCCTTTGACCGGTGATTCCTCGCTGGCGGCAAGTTCACCAGTGATGAGGTCGGTCTCTACGGACTTAGGAAGACCTCATGCACCCATCTGCAGTACTAATTGAGCCTCTAGGGTTTCACAGCTTGCAAGACACTATCCACGGTGCATCATGCAGTGCTCCGACGCTGTCATCAGCGATGGGGAGGTCACCAACGTGCTCCCCACAACCTCATGGACATGTCTATGCTATCGATTGATCGAATTAGGACTCCACACGAGCTTGGCCGCAGCCATGGTGGTGCAGAGGTGCTCGACACGGTGGCACGACGGTGAACCGGCTACTCCGGTGTGGTAGAGGTTTAGCTAAGGGCTCAAGTAGCATCATCAACTCACTGCGATGTTGATGCGCTGCTTGATTGAACGGGGAACAAGGCGGAGAGGGCTGACGATGGTGAGAGTGAACGCGGCGACGTGGACCGACGGCGAACTTGGGTTCTGGCGGCTCTGGTGCTGCGTCTGCCAAAATAAGGAGATTGGTGAGCATCATGGCATTAAGGCAAAGCTGAAACAAGAGGCAGGGTGGGAAGAGGAGCTTCAGAGTGGCCTAGCCATGGTGGGGTGGAGCTCAACGGCCATGGCAAGCCGCCACGGCGAGAATGGCGTGCGCATGCGATTGCGGCGGTGAAAGACAGAGCAAGCGGACTCTGGCGGTGCGCAAGAGCGAGACAAAGGCAAGGGCACGAGTACACGGGCTTGGACGCATCGACGGCGGTCAATTTCGCTGGCGAGCGGAGCCTGCTGGCGGCGGAAGAGAGAGAGAGAAAGAGCGAGATGGCCGACAACATCGCATTTTAACGGCACGGGCGAAACATCAAGATGCGCCCATAGCTACTCGCCCTAGATACGCAAGCAGCTACGTGTTGACGTGCGAGGAGGCGGTGAAAATAGGGCGGCGGCCATCGGTGGCAAGCTGCTGCGTGGCAGCGGCTGCCGACCTACTGTAGCAGACTGAAACCTCTCCCTTCTCCTCCATTATTCTCTTGATTCCAAATAGCAACTTGAAAAACTTCATTAATAAAAGTTGCTCATCTTGATGTGGTCTTCAACATTTCTTTAAGGATCCACCCCTAATTCTAACTAGATAGCTTGATCTAGGGTCAAGAATAGGGGTACAAGTACACTAAAACACTGAACTTCAGTTAGGGTTTGTAAAACAGTTTTTTATTGGCAAACTTTGGCATTTAATTAGTGATCAACCATCTATCCAACCTATCAACTAATTACACATTATCATAGCTAAAACATTACACCAATTCATGGAACAAGAGTTGGACAAATTTTATTTATGAAAATTGTTTTAATAAATCACCAAATATTGAACTTAACACTAAAATTCAAGGACTTGGTCAAAATGGCCAAGTGTGAAATTCAGCACCAAATTCAATCTTTGAGCTAAAATTTAAACACGTTTAACTTGAAAACATCATCACATGTTGATTCTATAAGAAGGCACTCACTTTGTACTACAAACTTTATTCTAACAAAATTTTACTTGTTTAAGCAAATTCACATACATAAATTCATAGATTACCTTAATCATTAACACCAACATTACTTGATGCAACATATGCAACATATAAATGCTAAAATTGGAACATGGAGTGCATTCCTGACATGATGCTTGGTGATTCTGCTTCATGATGAACATGACCAAACTTTTAATGGCATTTTAACATCTGGGATGTTACAAAGAGAAGGCTGTGTTCCAATGTTTACTGCTACAATAGTATTCAGTATAGACACAAATTCATCTTTAATGTCTTAATACTTATTAAGCTTAGATGTCTACATGGCGCTCTGATCAACTATCAAGCATAAAGCAAGAGAGATGCGTTTGTCATGAGTATGTTTTTATTTTCCATTTGTCTTTTGAGTTCTGATGGTGACGTTAGTTTTTCTTTTTCTATGCATACTCCTTTGGGTTCTTTAATTTATATTTTTGGAAGTATTTATAACATAGTAATATCTGTATAACCCGCAGCAAAGCACGGGGTATCATCTAGTTTACATAGTTTTTGTGCCCTCCTAGACATGCCAAGCAGACAAATATTACAAAAAAACAGAGGTAGTAAAATGATTGGCAGCTCTCCTGTTTATTCCTGAAAAATGGTTGAATGTGTCAATCATATTCATGTTCACAATATTTATTCTCTGCATAATAGAATTTATTGTGTTTATCTTGAATAATCTTAATGTGTGATTAATTCATTTAAGACCGCAAATATACATAATTATGCTAAATACTAATATCAAGATTAATCTTGTGTACTTCCTTTTAGCGGAGGGGGCAAATAAAACAAATTCCGCAACACGAAACCCACAAAAAGTAATTGATTTATGTCATAAAATATGATTTAATGTGTCATTTACTCTATTATAATTCACTTTATTATACGATTGCCTCGATCTTTTGGACTAAATATATAATTTCCTACTCATTCTTTTGAATATTTCATACAACATTAACATGTCATACCATTTCCCGCTATAAATATGCCTTGACTCCACATCTTCCACAATACTTGCACAAGTAAAGCTTGCAACCATGTCATACCATCTTCAATGGGTCTGCCAGCCCAATACTCCTTCCCACCCCAACTGCCGTAAGACTTTGTTTTTAGGTTCTGTCTAGTACTCATACAGTTTTCTTTCATTCTGATATTAAGTTACAGTCTCAATTTGAAATTGTTGCAAGAACTAATCCTCCAGAACTTGTACATTTGTAGGTGGCAATAAGTTTTCCTGGCCTGAGCTTGTGGGAAAGAAGGGTAAGGAAGCAAAAGCTATTATCCTGAAAGAGAATCCTTATGTCAACAATGTGGTTTATGCCCCCCCAAGATGCCGTTATTACTGACAACTATTGCTGCAATCGTGTTAGGCTCCTTATGAATTGTGATGCTGGCTGTGACTATAAAAATGCTAGAGTGTTCCATGTCCCAATAGTTGGGTGATGAGCTGTTGGGGGTCTGCAAATACATATGCATGTATCTGCATGGTACTACATGCTAAGAAAAATAAACCACTGTCATGCTGGGCAAAAGAATAATCTTCAATAAAGCAATCATCCATTATGCAATCTTTTTGTTACTACTGGTTGTAATAGCAACATTTCTGCTTTAGGAGTACTTAACAAGCGAGATCATGGAAAGTATGGGTATAAAAAAGAGCTGTATCGAAAACTAAATGTTTTCTAAATTAGGATGAGAAATGACGTTGCAGCTAGCGGATAAGGCGCTGTCAATTTAATTTCCATATTCACTACAGCCAACAGCCATGTGTTGCTCTCTTTTGCGATGCCTTCTTCATCTTCCCCTTATTTACTCCTACTTATTTAGAAAAAAAGAAAATTTGTTAGATGTGCCAGCGAGAGGTACCAAAGGTGACAATAATGCCTTGAGAATGGTCTATATTTTGATGAATGTTTTTGCAGAAGTACCGGTGGCGCGCTAGCTCAAAGGTGCTTTTTTCTAGAGGTGATTGAATCAATAGTCAAAGGTGTTTATTCTTTTTCTAGAGGTGATTGAATCAAGAATCGTAGATGTCTCCAGGGGTCCACTACTAGGAATTTCCACTTTCATGACGAACAACTTTGAAGAAGCCAAATTCGTCATAATTTGAGTTTTACAATGAATTTGTGACGAAAAATGGTTCATCACAGAAGTCACGTCATACTTGAACTTCTATGACGAATCAAAGCAATTCGTCATAGAGGTGGTTTGATTTGTGATGAAAAACAGACCATCGTAGAACTGTTTTGGCATGCGTGGCGGGGGGCTGCCACGCTGGTGGGTGCTTCCGTTGGAGAAGCTTTCCATGTGCACATGCTATAGCCGGTTGCATTGGAGATGGTTTGGGTACGTGTCACCTTCTTATTGCACAATGTGACCATCTCTGGTTTTTGCGCGTTTCAGGTTCTTACTGGACCACGTGTCGAGTCCCTGTTGTTCCACATGTCAGTTTTCTATTGGCACATGTGTCGTGTTGCGGTTGTATCACATGTCACTTCTTTATTGGACCATGTGTCGTATTTTTATTGGTCCACGTGGTTGTTTCTTATTCAACCACACGTGTCGATATTTTATAAACCGGACTAGTAAATTTATACGATTGCCGCGCTGCTCTAGTAAGACGATGGTAGCATCCAAAAGATACGAGGATTTATACTGGTTCAGGCCAGAGCCCTACATCCAGTCTTAGAGATGATCGAGTGTGTGTTCCTTGCTTGAATGTTCGGAAGTTCTTACAATGGGGGGTGCAAGAATGGTGGAAGAGGTAGGAGAGCTAGAGCTAGGAGACGGGCTGCACGAAGGGAAGCTTTAGGAGCCAATGAGAGTTGGATCCCCAAGATGGGTGCCCTGGCTGCCCTTATATAGAGACCGGGGCCAGGGAATATACAAAGAAGAAGGTTCTCTCGACCGAAGGGTCATGAGCCTGAGGGAGGACCTAGCTAACTTGGCTTGCAAGCTACACCATCTTGTGGTGCACGTCTGGGCGTGGTTATCGTCACTGTCCTATGGCCACGTCGTGGCATGGTGTGACATGGTGCTACTGTGCCGGCCGTGGTGGCACTATAAGCACGGTGATGGTTCGCCAGCCATCCTATGTGACGTGGTCTTCGTTATCACCTCCTGGTTTCCTAGGGGGTCGTACAGGAGTTGGTTGCCGCCCCTAGGTCATCGATCACCCGGTTGGCTCATGGAGTTGATTGGCCATGATCCCAAGCGTTGGGGTCATGGCTCCCGCCGATCTAGATGGCCTCTAAGTCAAGGTCTTCATCATGGATCCCATCTCGTGGTGGGTAGGATCATACATGCGTCTTATCGGTCCGTATTTGGATGGTGGGTCGCCGTATTGATAGTCACCACCGCACGGTGTTGTCTTGTCCGTGCTGCATGGCGTAGGGATGGCGTGTGATCGGACTAAGGTGACCGCTGCCCCCTCAGTCCTTATAGGGTTAGTGTGGCATGTCTACTCTTGTCAGAACAGGCATGCTTGGTCAAGATCGATTCCTCCCCGTTCCTCTCCAGGGGTCGGAGCGATGCGAAGGTCATGAGTCTCTTGCGCGTCGTGTGGCTTAAGGCAGAAGGAGGGGTCACGGCCGACCTTGGCCTTGGCGTTAGGCCCGTCCTGCTTGGCTTGGCTAGGCCTCGATCGTTTGGGTTGTCGCTAGTTGATGTGTCGTGGGCTGCTTGGCATGCTGACTAATCGGTGCCTTGAGACACCCTAGGGTTATAACCTCGATAACACGTCATGGTGCTCTGCATCCATGTTTCATATTTTTATTCAGCCACATGGCTTGACGACTTCCTTCCACATGTCGTGCCCTGGCTATTTCAGGTGTCATGCACTGGTTCATCCATGTGTCGCATTTTTATTTGATCACGTGGCCTATTTTGGTTCTACCTTGTGGAGTATAATCAATTCATCATAGAAGTAATTCGAGATCGTCACTACTGCATAGATTGACTACATAACTATTTAGCTTAGCAATCAAATAACAACAATTAACATTTGACATGTCAACAACAAACCACTAACAGAGTATCACCACATCAAACCGTCACATGAGTCCACACAACAGACCACAAATGTTCACCGCATCAAGCCACAGGAGTTGAAGACTGAGAGTTACCAGGAGAGCTTAAGAGCATGACTTGCTCATAGAGCCTATTGTACTCCTCCTCCTACCATTTATTGAATTACTCAAACTCCCTTCTAGTATTTTCTATCTTCCTCTTCAGTTCATCCACTAGTTCGACAAGGGCAACATTACTTTCTTGCTCAGCAGCAAGCTATTCTCGAAGCGTTATCTCCGCCGATGTCTCTGGTTTGGTGGAGCTTATCCGGATACCAGCATTCTTCAAAAAAAGGTCATGGCTACCATAAACATGGAGGACATCCTCCGCGACTGTGGCCAGGGACCCGAGGTTGTACCTAGGGTCTTTTAATAAATAAATTTTCTTAGTCTGTATCTCAAGCTTCTTTTACTTTCGTGTGCTCGCCGATGATCCAATCGTTTGAATACCATAGTTGTGTGACCTTGCTTGGGGATTGACCCACAAGGCTTGGCCTAGTGCAACTCCATTTTTATGACTAAAGTGTTGTAGGATAGATCTGGTGGTTGCTGGCCTTTTGTCATCCTTTTTCCTTTAGGTTGCGCGGACACTTTCTTTCCATTGCTTTCACGCAGGCGCAGGGCCCTGTCCCAGTTTGGTTCTAGGAATTCTACTTCATGTGATCCTTTGTTGTGCATGATCTCATGGCAAATTGTGGTGTTGACGTGTCCATGCTATGGCGGTGATGACCTTGACATCATTGCCCGAGGTCGCACGCTGGGGAGATCAGACAGCGATATCTTTGCAATGAGTGATGCCATCGCTCATGTAGCGACGGTCCTTGTAGGTGAAGCATCAGTCACCTGCATTGTCACTAGTTCCAAGCTTCCGATGTGTGATGATCTGTGTGTAAGGATTCTACATTACGTAGGTGTTTTTGTTGTGGTGAACATGTTTTGGGTTTTGTGTGTGTTTGGTGTGTGATCAGCGCATCCATTTGCTGTTTTGCTACCTTTTTGCTTTTCTTTTCATTCGAGTTGGAATGTGCTTCGTCCCCCGTAACTCTATGCTCATGGGTGTGCATCTTAACCTAGGGGCTCTCCCATGGGGTTAAACGGTGCGCAATCTATTTGAGCGATGAGGCGTCAAGGGTAGGTCGCAGATTTGGCACGATGTGAGAAGAAGGTGATCGAGCAGCGGTCGATTTCTTTCCTTTCGCTCCTTTCACCTTGTTCGAGTGGGTTCCCCATTCCCTTTAAGACCCATGCGCAGGTGCCCGACCTTGCCCGGGAGCTGACCGAACGCAGGTCAGAGTTCGATCACAACTTAATAGCTCTGTGGTAGGGATAACTGACCGGAGCATCCGGTCACCCCGTAGATTGCTGACTCAACCTCCTAATGGTTCGTTTTGAATGAGGGGGTATAAATACTTCCTCTATTCATCTAAGGGAGGTCTCTTGCCCATTTGTTCAGCTGAGAAACACCCTTGAGAGTGCTAAGGGGAGCAAGAGCCAAGTGAGGTGATTAAGATTTGAGAATCCAAGATTAAGGCCTCATTAGTGCAAGGAGAGTAGCAAGTGTGCATCCACCCTTTTCATTAGGCTTGTTGTGGTCAAGTGAGAGTTCGTGCTTGCTACTCTTGGTGATCGCCATCACCTAGACGACTTGGTGGTGATCAGGAGTTTGGTGATCATCCGGTGTAACAGAACCGACCAATTATACGAAATTAAGTAAGAAAATCATCCGCCAGAGCAGACGATTTAGCAAACTTAAGCCCGTATAACCCGGTAGTCCGTAAAATCACAAAGGATTTCAAACCAACTCACATACCAACTAAGATCGTAATAAGTTTAGCGGTCACCATCACATATTACATAAAAGTTCGCATCACAGATACATCAGAGTTTAAACATAGTTATTACAAAACGAGTTCAAATAGAAGTAGCGGAAGCCATTTGTTCAAAACCACACACACTCACACGGAGTTCAAATACAGTGCCAGCTAATGATCATCTCCAACAAAAGCATCAGACGAGACGTAAGGAATGACCATGCCCATGGTCCTAAGCATCACCCATCACAGGATAAAGGCAGTTGATACAGTAGCCGTAATACATCTGCCCGTTTGCAACAAGTGGGAATAAAACCCTGAGTACGAGAAGGTACTCAGCTAGACTTTCCCGACATAACCGAAAATAAAGTGATACCAAGGATTATGAAGGGGCTTTATAGTAAGGTAGCTGACTCATTTGCAAAAAGCGGCATTTTTAGTATTTCAAGAACCTTTACAAAAGCATTA